CTGCACATTTTTTTATTTTTTATTTTTACTCCGCACTTGATTCAACTCTTTCCACACTGTGTAGAGAGTTTTTTTTTCAATTTTTCAATATTAAATTACACAAAATTTAGAAATATAATTTTCACATTCAATTCAATCATATCAACACTATCAAAGAATACAAACAAAATAGTTTGTATATTTCTTATTTAAGAATGAAATATACAAGCATATTTTTTCTAAATAACATACTGCTATGAAATTATAAAAATAATTTACAATTATTTTCTTATATCATGAAAATATTTTTAGATATTACTTCAAAAAATTTTCAAAGAAACTAAAATTCATATATTAATAAAAATACGATAATAAAATTCGTACAAAGTACGTGATAGCAACTAGTAATAAAAGACCAAAGACATTGTAAGATCATAAAGAATATAATTGAAAACATTAATTCTAATTAAAATTTGCAATAATGCTATTCGAACAGATTCCTTTGCACAGATGTTGAACAGGTAATAAAAAATTAATAAACAATGAGGACACGTGGCTGGAAGGGAAATAAGGAAAAAAACCCAATCTGATAATAAATGGAAGAAACAGGTTATCCCCAAATTAAAATTGGCTCATTATCCCCAACCCAAATTGAAATTGGCTCATTTCTGTACTTTAGTCGATGGGGTCGAGACTTCGAAGTTTGACACTAACGAACCTCCCGTGTGAGTCTTAGCTCATTGTCCCTAAAATCAAAGAAAACGGTAGAGGTTGGCAAGCATTCGAAACTTTACATCCCCATCTTTCTCTAGAAAGCCTCTCTTTGAAGGGAAAAAAATTGTGAAAAATAAAAACTCTATATTAGGGCTTTCAGAGGCGCCGAGAGAAGTATTTTCTCATTCCGTTTGTTTCTCAGGTAATTTATTTACACCACTTTGCTTTTTATGAATTTTGTAATTTTTTTATAAAGTTTTTGATTGTCTGTTTTGACATTAGTTACTGAAGTTAAGTTTAAATTTTGGTGCTTATAGATTCGTTTACTAGATGAATCGCGCTTGATTGCTTTGTCAATTATTTTGCAGTTAAAATAGTGACGATCAAGAAGCATTATAACAATTTCTGTAAATTGCTGAAATATAAGAAAATATCTGAAGATCAGAAATAGCTCATATTCTGATAGAATTCTTCCTGGCATTTTCAATAGTATAGCGCAATGAGCAAATGGCTATAAAAACCACTGGTGATGCATTTTTAAATGGAATTTCAACTTTTTCAATAGCATTAAATTGAGTTTATAACAATGGTCAGTCCTCTCCACTCATTACGTTCATGCAAAACACTAATGGTCAATAATTTGGGTGGTTGATTGTGGTTGTAGAATGGGAGGAAAGAATTCTGGAATTTGTCATAGTTGCAGATCGAAGGGACACTTGTTTGATGAATGCCGAAGTAAGCGTCGTTGCCCCGTTTGCAAGAGTGGATTCCAGAAGTGTTTCGAGGTGGAGAGAGGGATCGATAACAAAGGAAAACTATTTAAATGCTGTAGTCAGAAATGCGGTTTTTGGGAGTGGGTTGGAGAAGGAGAATCAAGTGGTGAATCAAGTGCTGTCGATAGCAAGGCGAATCCAGCATCAGAAGAATCAGTGTCAGATTTGTCGCACATGTTTCAATATCAAATTCATCTCCCCGATGAAGAAGAGGTTCAGATTTCGATGAACATGAACATGACAATTCACAAGGGCAAAGCAACCGTGGAGAAGAATGACAAATGAAAGTGGCTGGCTGCATTAGTAGCCCCATTTTTTAATAAACGTTGATGTTATGTATGCTTGCATTTCTTGTTCAAACTTCATGTTATTTAGTGATGTTAATAACGTAGTTGTTCTTAATGACGTATTTTTTAATGACGTAGTTGTTCAATATCTAGAGAGTACGAATATCGTGTTGATTTTGGGGTGACACTCAAATTCGACATAAATATACAAAATGTTTTGAAGTGGCACTGTGTACGCGGTCCATTCATTACCATGAGAAATATCGAACGACATTTGAATATTGTACCAAACGAACACATTCAACGAGTAGACATCAAGTAATGCAATTGAAGTATGTTACCGCTTCAAATTGTGCATGTGGTCGAATTTACTCAATTGGGATCTTTATAATTATTTACAAATTAACTTTTTCACTACAATTTGATAAAAACTTTTTGATTCATTTTGATGCACATTTTCAGTACAACATCACATGAATATATTCTCATATCCATCCAAACCATTTGCAAGGACTTCAGTGTGTGTCACGGAAACAATGTCTTCGTGCCACACTGCCCTTCTCTCCGTGACACACTGCCCCGGAGCAGTGTGTCATGGAGAAAGTGTCTCCGTGACACACTGCTATGTGTCACGGAGAAACTCTCTCCGTGACACACTGTCACGGAGAGCACGGAGAAACTCTCTCCGTGACACACTGTCACGGAAAGTGTCTCCGTGACACACTTGAATGACACACATGTATCACGCAAGTGTGTCACGGAGACACTTACACGCGTTTTTTTCATTTTTTCTATTTTATTGTTGTTCGAGGATGTGGTTTTGTAAACAAAAATAAAAATATAATCTACGATTAATTGTATACTTTTTTAAGTTCATCTTCTATATTGAGTGTGTCCCTTGAAATGAAGAACATATCTGTCGGAAGTAATTGTCAAAACGAACAGATGTACCTATTCAAAGACTTTTGAAAATAAAATTCTCTTTCGGGGGCGTTGCCCCCGAGCCCCCACGGGGGACGCTGCCCCCTCGACCCCCGCGACCTGACCGGGTAGTTCGATCCCCATTACACAGCGACAAACACTAGTCCGGGCGGCAAATCATTGAGAAATTTTGAAAATGTTTATAGATAGTTTGGTGTAAAATTTCAGCTTGCAGGTTGCAATGCATATAATCCTGAGAACTTTTAATCTTTCAGTTTCTACCTCTTTCTATTTAGGCGTTTTCAAAATGCGCGGGACAGTCCATGCATCTATTGCTCAGATCATTAACTAACACGTTCAACACAAATGTACAGCTATACAAAATGTAAGCAAAACACAACCTAAAGAACTAAAGTAAAAACCATGAAATCCAAATTGTTCGAACAGCATTATTGTAATAACAATGACCAATGCAGGGCATGTTTTTCATCCCCATTACAGAGTTTTCCTTTTCTTTAACATTGGACGAAATGCCATTTTACGCTTGCAGGGCAGTTCATGGTTTATCATCCCCATTACAAATTTTTCTTTTATTTTAATGTTGCAGCCTTTGTTAAATATCTCCATCTCCACTGTCATTCAAATTTTTTTTAAGCAATGACATTTCCCATGCTTTGCAAATAACAAATTAAATATGTCGAATTGGAAAATTTTGAAGATGACATTTAACAGTGGGTCACCTGGGTTCGACGGTGTCGACGAAGACATGCTGTTCGGAGGTCCTACCGGATTCGAAGAACTGGCCGGCGGGAATGAAGGCCCGGGAGAGAGGGGAATGAGGGAAAATGAGGAGGGGAAATACTGACTTCCAATTTGGGGGAGGAAAGGTTGTACCAGTGGTCTGCCAAATTTGTCCCTTTTTCAAATAATTTCTACTGTTCATTGATGTGCCCATTATTAATTTTTTATTACCTGTTCATAATCTGTGCAAAGGATGCTGTTCGAATAGCATTATAGTAAAATTTGTTGTACTGAATAAAATTTGTGGTGTGGATTGGAAAACAAATTGCTGACATTGGGTCCCGAGCCTGACCACATATTTTAGGGTATTGCACTGCGCACAGACGTGTGTGAAAACTGTGCGCATACGATTCGTTGACTAGTTGTGTCTTGACTTAATATTAGAGAGATTATTCCTGGTCAGTTTACTATAATTATTGTTTATTTTTTCCAAATATACAAGAATTCTTTGATTTGATTCTCAACGATTTTTTATTTTTTTAACATGAGCGTCCTTTTCTATAGTTTAGGTGGAAAAATATTTATTTCTCATGGTTTTCGTTAATTTACTGTTAAAAAGTTAGTTTTTTTAATCCTCGAAAATATTATAATTGTATTTCACATTAAATAAAATAACGAAAACAAACAAAAAATATGCCGATAAAAAGAAAAATGAAAATATAATATTCCTCCCATCGACCAACCTCTATCAACAAGCACCGTCGACAATCAACCAAGATCAATGGCCATTAGCTCCATTTCATGAGTCAAACCTCATCGGGAAAAAAACGAGGAGGTTGTACGTGATAACCTTGTTTTGCTCGTTCGATTAAACTTGCTATTAACCAATCTCAACCATCCAAATTATATGATCAATCTTGTTCAACATTATTGTTCTACCAACACGTCATTAATACAATAATTTTTTGGTGTTCACTTACAAATAAAAAAAAAAATTAAAATTTACAATCTGAACATAATTATATTTTTTACTAGAAAATAAAAAATTTGTTAGATAAAGAATTAAATTGCTCACCGTTGGAGGGAACTAAAGGACATTGACGTTGACAATAGTAAAGAGGGAACTAAAGGTCATGGGAGGGACCAACTCCATATGCTTTTCGACTTCAATTTTGTACAACCTTTTGGCCTCCAATATCAAGGTGGTATCAAAGTTCCTTCACTTATCGGCATATGAAGGGAAATGGGTCTTTATATCATGATCGGTGAGCTTCGCTATTGTAGACGTAATAACTGCAAGGATTTTGATGACATACTCTCGAGGGATCGTTGCCCTCACCAGTTCTGTTGAAGATGTTGATGAATCATGATGGTTTGCCTGCGAGGTTAGTCATTCGAGCACTTGGAAATTGACGATTGCAATGATGTGGTTAACCATTCTGAGATCAACAACTTTCACCTAAGATGGCTATTGAAGGACTTTGCTAATCGTGACTCCTTTTGCTTCTAGAGACGGTGATGCAAGTCCTCAATCATTGCCTTCATTTGGACGTTCCATTCCTTCAATTGTTTTGTGTACCAATAATAATTGCTCTCCCAACATAAATTCATTTCAATTATGCTACAAATACAGAATTTTTTGACAGAAAAACCTTACATACATTACATGGCATGGCATTATTAGAAGACGGGGAGTAAAAAGAAAACACTGTCCACTCATTCTACTATTGCATTATTATAAGCAGTAAAATGACTAAACACACCATACAGATTGCATAAAGAAATCCTAGCAAGGAAGGGTATATCCGTCCCAAAAAATAAGCTTCTATCTCTGGAGACCTCTGTTGATCATTTCCCGGTACCTCAAAATAGAGTCCAATCTCTGTAATTTCAACTGCTGCCTAAACCTGTTAATAAAATCATCAGCTTTAGCATCCACAGCCTCATCATCCGGTCCATTAGAATACGTCGTTTCTCTCACTGTCACTGGCCGCCGTAGATCCGCCTCTACCTCTGTCTCAGCCACGAACACCTTCTCACTAGCCGACTTCTTTAACACCCTTTTTGCCGGAGCTTTCATGCAAGTTTCAGAACTACTCCTCGTCACGTGAATATCCTCCACAGATTCACTGTGATTCATGTCATCGACTTTTGCTTCGGACTTCTGATAATCGGTTGGTTCTTGAGGAGGGGAGGTGTAATGGGCGGCGGATTCGGAATCCAACGGTTCGAGATTTTGGGTGCGGTAGAGAGAGAGGTTGATGGACTTGACTCGTTCTAAAAGAGATGGAACTCGGACGAGCTGTGGACGCGAGTTGTCCTGATGATGACCGAGTTTATTGAGGGACGAAGTGATGACAATTGTAACAATTGTGAGGTTCAAGACGCAGAAGAGAACAGTTGGTGTTAACCAGCTTGTCACCGTGACCACGAGAAATTCAGCTGCATTCATTTTGCGACGTCGTTTTAGGTATATCTTTGTTTTTTTGCAGAGAGATAGAGAGAGATTTGAGAGAGCACTAGAGAGACTGATGACAGATGCAGAACTCTTCGGTGTTAACTCTTATATATGCCAAAATGCACGTGTTTAAAATGGGATAAACCTAAGGGGAATCCAAAGGAAGCACCAAAATATCAGATCTCTTGTTTGGGCCCCATTTTTTTTTTTAAAAAATAAAATTTTAAATGATATTTTGACATCATTTTTATCACACATTCTTTAATAAAATAATATTACACGAAAATCTAAAATTTTTCCTTATTTTTTAACCACATATTTCACATTATTACACTATTCAAAAATGTATTTTCATAAAAATAATGTGACTCAAACAAGGGCTATGTTAGAGGAATAGAGTTTCATACTTTTACTTTACTTGATTAGGTTTCTTTGTTGTGTAATGGCCGATTTTTCGTTCTAAATGTGCTTTTTATGTTGAATAACTGTAAAGATTGAATAGAGAATAATTTATCTATTATGTCACGTGATCACTACTTCTTCTCAATGGTAACATCACTCGAGTCTATTTCACGTTATGTGAGCTAAATTACAATCACATTCATGGTAAATGTACCATTTAATTGAATGCATTTTGACTTTTGAGTTATTTTAGCTAGTGATTCGACTATGTCAAGTAGCCTTTCACCCTGTATCCTTGGAGGCATAATCTACGATTTACCTCCCTCACGATGCTCCAGGGCAGAGGTGGTGGGGGACCCTTAAAGTTAGGGTTTAACCTTTTTTTTTTTTTTTAATTATGAACTGCACTACAAGTACCGAGGAATGTGCACAGGGTCAATAGACTCAATACAGGGGGACAACTATCCCTTGTAATTGGCTAAGCCAATAAATTGACCCTGAATATTTCCCCTTTCCTTAAATTATTATTAAATATTAATGCATGGAAGCATAGTAAAATTGACGAATACGTGGTGTCAAACTCCTTGATGCTGTAAAATATCGAGATTGGATCAAGAATTGAAAGAAAACTCTATTTTCAACTAAAATTACTCTCTTAGTCCCTCAACTCATAAAAGTATAGACACGAATTAAATCTAGCATAATAATTAGATAAATAAAATGATAAAATCATATCAACTCTTGCACGTGTACACTCAAGTACTTCAAACTTGATTTAAGGCCCAAATTAATTAAGAACTAATCATTGCCGATTGCTTAGTCGTTAAGCACTTAAGCTTATTATTAGTTAGAAGAAAAAAAGAAAAGTGAAAAAAACGAAAAAAGAAAAAAGAAAAGAAAAGAAAACAGACCATAGGCATGCATGTTATTGTCATCATTGATATGGGACGGTTCTTAGTTAAATTATTGCTCAATTGGACCAAAAACGTGCATAAATATGAAGCTTTAAAACGTCTAAATTCATAATCGATGCCCTCAACATATTCGAGTTGTAGTAAATTAGTTCTCAACCTAAGTTATTGGCAAATTTGTTTTCAATTTATCTAGTTCATACAAAGTTGATTTCGATGAATGGAAATCGTTCCTTTGGATGTTGAAAGTACGCACAACTTACACGTACATTATTATATTTTGAATAGTGAATTTTAGGAGAATATATGGTTAAAAAGTACAGAAAATTTTGATATTTTATTAAATGAATGTGATTAAAAATGAGCATATAAAAAAAATGTTTTCGAATAATAATTGGCAAACAATGACTTAATTAATTACATTGTGACAATCTTCTCATCATTTTCTCTTTCTAATTTTCCATTGAAATTAAGTATCTACCTATTTACTCATAAATCATGATGTGTATAACAATAAGTCTATGTTTGAGTTTCATTTTTTTTTTTTCAAAAATCATTTTTTAACCACACATTCTTCCATAAAATAATTTTATATGCAAATTCAATTTATTTATTTTTTTAACTACATATTCTTTAAAAAAATCATTATTCTAAAACCTATTTTTCTCAAATATTGGTCTCAAACAGGGCCTAAGTCACTTGCCTTTATGTAGTCAATTGGACAGATCTATCCATTAAGGTCTAACTTGCTGCAAACTTGAAATATAAGTAGCCAATAAACCTAGTTAGTGACTAACTTCTAACAACTCGTATTGATTGTAGAGTACTTCCGCTATAATTTTCCTTAAAAGAGTAAAACTCAAGAATATGGTTGCTATTTATTAAAGTTTTTACTTTATTAATGTACTCCATCCGTCCCATTTATATAAACTTGTTTTGTTTTTTTAAATGGATTAAGAAGTTTTATTTAATTTTTTTCAAGTTTTTTTTCTAATTTACCCCTATTTAATTTTCAACAATTAGTGGTAAACTGTGCGCATACGATTCGTTGACTAGTTGTGCCTTGACTTAGGGCTGTTTGGGCCGATTTTTTCACCCAAAAAATTGATTTTTTGATCGTTATTTTACTATTTCAGCAATCATATTTGACTTCTTCTCTCACAGGTGGACCCCACTTTTCTCCTAACGGTCAAAAAATCAATTCTCAAAATCACTCCCAAACAGACTCTTAATATTAGGGAGAGAGATTATTCCTGGTCACTTTACTTTAATTATTGTTTATTTTTTCAAATATACAAGAATTCTTTGATTTGATTCTCAACGATTTTTTATTTTTTTTTAACACGAGCGTCCTTTTCTATAGTTTGGTGGAAAAATATTTCTTTCTCATGGTTTTCCTTAATTTGACTGTTAAAAAGTTAGTTTTTCTAATCTTGGAAACTATTATAATCTTATTTCACATTAAATAAAACAACAAAAACAAACAAAAAATATGCCAATAAAAAGGAAAATGAAAATATAATTTTCCTCCCATCAACCAACCTATATATTAAAATTAAAAATCTGAACATAATTATATTTTTTACTAGAAAATAATAATTTTGTTACATAAAGAATTAAATTGTTCGTCGGTGGGGGAACCAACGCACATTAACATTGACAATGTTAATATTTAATTACAAGTAAGAGTGAAGAATAGCAAGATATTAAGATAGAGATATCAATTCGACGAAAGAAACTTTAGTGGGGCGATTGCACTGTTGTGCCACCTTGACTGGTGGCCCACTACACACACTTGAGGCGTGTAGACCACCTGTCGAAGTGGTGCCTCGACAATGGTGCGCCCGTCCACTAAAGATTTAGTCCAATTCGACTCGTCGACTACATATGCCCTTTGAGCCAATGGCTCGCATGCTTGGCCGGCCAAAATGACCAATGTCATAGGATAGGCTGCTTGCCTGCACAAATTAAAATAAATAAATAAATAAACAAGTTTAAAGTTAAAATGGAAAAAAGTCAATTTTCTCTTCAAACATAATTATGAAAACTTACCATTAAGCTCATTTAAAAAAAGTTTACTTCTTGACCATTCTTTATCAATTAGTAAGCGAGCTTGTCGCGACTTGATTACATCCTACATCGAGGACATTTGATGAAAAAAGATACGGGACAAATTTAAAATTAAAATGAAAAAGAAGTCAATTTTCTCTTTGGACGTAATTATGAAAACTTACCAAGTTTACATCTTCTCCTTTCTTTATTCATTAATTATTGTGATTTTGACGCGATGACAACTGTCTATAATTATGATGGTTCTCATCAATGACTCCACTCCTATCCAATTCTAGAACTGGACAAATCTCTCAAACCAAATCGATCGAACTCGAACTCGAATCGAACTGAATCGAACTCGATGGTTCTTGTCAAATTAAATACCCGAACGGGTATCTAAATTAAGAACCGACGGGTACGTTTCGATTTTCGATTCTAGACCAAGAACCGAAAAAACAAATAAAAATCGAATATTTCTAATTTTTCTTATATTGAGTAAATCAAATTATTTTAATTTTAATTTTTTCTAAACAAATTAACAATTTCTAAATTCAAATTTTTGGCCCAATAATTTGTTTCATTTTTAATTTTTGGCCTCATTACCTATTTAATTGCTTCATTTATTAGCCCAACAAGATCCAATCCACTAAATAATTCTAAACACATACACTAAAGTGCATAACGTTGTCTCGACTCTCGCACTCACTCTCGCAACTTCGCTGACATTTCAAAACCTATACAATCGTCGGCTGATGCTGTGACCTCGACATACATTACATGGCATGGCATTATTAGACGTCGGGGAGTAAAAAGAAAACACTGTCCACTCATTCTACTATTGCATTATTATAAGCAGTAAAATGACTAAACACACCATACAGATATACAATCGTCGGCTGATGCTGTGACCTCCGATCGAAATTGCTACCTCTGCCAATTGAAACTTTGACCGTAACGATCATTTGAACAAGGTAGTCTACTAGTCTATGGCATTCCAAAATCATTGAATGTATCATTAATTGTATTTATATAATGTTGTTATAAATATTAAAAAAATTAATTATAGTACAGAATCGAATCGAACCGAACGGAATCGAATCCGAACAGTTCCATAATTTGGACTTGACGGTTCAATTTACTAAATACCCAAAAATTTTGGTTCGATTCGATTTTAAAGAGAATCAAACAGAATCGATCCGCGTCCACCCCTATCCAATTCCATGGTTAAGGGAGCTAAAAATTTGTGCATGTTTTTCAATAGAAACGGACAAAATGAGAGTAAGTGAGAAATTTAATAATGCCACGAAAATCAGTCAGTATTCAGCGCGTTCATACCTAATTTTTGAACTAAAAAATAAACACGTTCATACTTTAAATTTCGACTGTGCATGTGATATGATATGATATGATTGACTGATTTCCAACAACTATTTAGGCCCATTAAATTGTGGTTAGTGAACTTTCAACGAAATATTAATAAATTTTAATTTCTTTTAATTGAAAAAACTTAAATTTTAATTTCATTTTTTATTACTCTATCACGTTCTGTCTTTTAAACAAAAATGTTTAATTGACGGCATGGGAGGACTCAAACGACTTAGATTAGAGGGTCACAAATAAAATTTATAAAATATCTTTTAATTAAAAAAAAAGCTTAAAAAAAAAATAAACTGAACAATCCCCCCCCCCCCCCCAACACAAAATTTATAGGTTCAACTAAGATCATAGAGATTA